AGCCATTTTCGGAGTATGTCTGAGTTCGAAAATTCCTGTTTTTTTAGGGCGTGTCCTAAAGATGTGAAAAGGTGATAGTCCGACGGCGCTGAGTCTGGTGAGTACAGCGGGTGGGGTAAGAGTTCCCAGCTCAAGTCTTTTATGGTGTTTTTGACCACCGTAGCGTTTTGGGCTGGAGCGTTGTCATGCTGCAGTATCAGCTTGTTGTGCTTTTCACGCCATTCCGGTCTTTTTTCATTCACCGCCTCTCTCAAACTGTGCATTTGTTGTTCGTAGCGACTAGTATTGACCGTTTCGCCAGGTTTCAGGAACTCGAAATATACTCGCCGGTCTGGTCCCACCATACGCAAAGCATTGCCTTTTTTCCGAAGCAATTGGGCCTAGGCGTCTGTTTTGGAAATTGGCCGGGCAGGTCCCATGACTTTTGGCGCGTAGGATTACTGAAGTGGATCCATTTCTCATCTGGAGTTACGATTCGGTGCAAAAATGACTTCTTTTCATGCCTGGCGAGCAGCCCTTCGCAGGTTACCAGACGCCGTTCTTGCTGCCTTTCGCTCAACTCGTGGGGGGCCCATCTGGAAAGCTTTTGGGTCATTCCGAGGCTGTTTAAACGTAGGGAAACAGCACCTTGAGACACCTGAAGCTGTTTCGCGAGTTTCTCCTGCGTTTGGGTACTGTCCTTATTCAACAAAGCTTACAGTTCAGCGTCCTCAAACTTTTGGGGCGGTTTTCCGCGTGGTTCATTATCAAGTTCGAAATTGCCACTTTGGAATTTTTTATACCACCTGTAACATTGCGATTTTCTCAGAGCGTGGTCGCCGTAAACTTCCTCGAGCATTTGGTAGGCTTCAGTGGCACTTTTCTTCCAGTTGAAGGCGAACAACAAAACTTCCCGCAAATGGGCACTTTTTGGCTCGGAAATCGCCATTTTCCACGGGCTCCAGAAATTTTCCACGATTTGAATTTTTCTAAAACTGCACACGTGCTGATGCCACATGAGTCAAAAAACAAAACGCCTTCAACAGCGCCACCGTCGGCTCAAATAAAGTTGCACAGCGCCCTCTGGCGGACATTTTCGCGTTTCATACTAATAGACCTGGTAGGTGAGAATGCTGGTGGACCGCGATGGAAATGCCCACGCGTACCGTGTGGCATGGTCCACTACGACATGTAAGAAGGTCTGAGAATTTCCATATTTCGCGAATCCAGAAATAGTATCTAGTGACACTAGTTCGTACGGCAGGACCGCTGGGGGGAGTTGTCCCAATTCTCCGTAGATAGGTCCTTTTGGTGGTTTGACCAATTGGCATACTGAACAGGTTCTTACATGTGTCCTGATGTCATTTGTCATGCCGTCCCAATAGTATTGGGCTGCGATCAGTCTGGTCATCTGCGAAATGCCGGGGTGATTGAAATCGCGATGGGCTCGTTGTAGTAGGGTGCCACGGAGTGATGGTGGAACAATTATTTTAGTGACACCCCGTCGTATGATGGTCATAAGGTCCTTGTCATTGAGGATATACCTTGTGTCCCTCCGTAATTCGCCCTGATGATCTTTTATTTGACCTGTGGATAGGAATCCGCAGAAAGGGTTACGGGAGAGTAGGTCCGCCTCGTACTGACGCGAGCCCTTGAGGTATTTGACCTCATAGTCGTAAGCTGAGAGTCGAAGGCTCCAACGAAAGAGGCGTCCGGTGGGGTCTTTTATGGTCTTTAGCCATTGTAAGGCGTGATGATCCGAGTAGATGACAAACCTTGTACCTAGGAGGTACACTCGGAATTTGTCAACGCACTCTACAATGGCTAAGCACTCCAGTTCAGATATAGTGTAATTACGCTCATAGGAACGCAACGCGCGACTGTAATATTGTACAGGGTAGATGTTACCGTCAGGATGTACTTGTTTGAGTACACCTGCGATGACCTGCGTGGAAGCGTCGCAATAGACCTGGCATGGGAGCCCTTCTTGAAATAGATGTAACACAGGTTGTGTTGCGAGGTGTTGCTTCAATTTATAAAAGGCTTGTTGACAATTCGGGCTCCAAAGCCATTTGACGTTCTTTTTTAGTAATTGATTTAAGGGGTGGCGAAGTCTAGCATATTCTGGGATGAATTTATGATATACGTTGACGGCTCCTAAAAATGATTGTAGGGTTTTAACGTTGATAGGAGTTCTAATAGCGTTGATGATTTCGGTATTTTTAATATTAGGTGTGTAAGTCCCTGCGGTGATGTGGTAGCCGAGAAAATCTATTTCATTTTAATAAAAATTACATTTTTTAATGTTAAGTTGGAGATTTTCCTCTAAACAGAATTTAGAGAAAAGTCGAAGGTGCGTAAGGTGTTGTTCTGAGGAGTCAGAAAAAATAACGAAGTCGTCATAATAATGGGCTATGAAAGAGAAGTGGTGTTTGTGGATCAACTGGGTAATCACACGTTCGAAAATTTGGGGTGCTGATTTGAACCCAAAGGGTAAGCGTTTGAAATTATATTGCCCTTGTTGAGTCACGAAAGAGAGTAGTGGTTGACTCTCCTCCGCGATGGGGATTTGATAGTATGCATTGCTTATGTCAACGGTGCTAAATACTCTGGCTTTCGACAGGTTATCCAGTACCGTTTCTATCAATGGCAAAGGATGCAAATCCGAGGGTACTAGTTCGTTCACGCGACGGAAGTCAATGCAGAGACGCATGGTGTTATCGCGTTTCCGAACGAGTGTCACAGGAGAGGAATATGGGCTAGAGGAGGGGGTGATTATGTCATGTTTTAGAAGTTGAGATATCTGGTCCTGAATTTCCTTCTGGTAGGCATAGGGAGTTCGGTATGGTCGGAGGGAAATAACCTTATCGGAAATAATTTTGAGTTTTACAGGGGTTATGTTGAGTGGTAATACATTGAATTTATTGATAGGGAAAATATCTTTAAAAGAATACAATAATTGCTGATAAGGGATAGTCAGTTCTGGGCGTTGTTCGATAAATTCTTTAATCATTAATTCTCTAGAGGCGCATGGGCTGGTAGGAATGCTATTAAGGTTGTAAGGGTGAGAGGGGCATTCAGGGGAAGGTTGATAAATATTACTAAGGGTTGTTTGTAAGTAAGGCTCACGTGGAGGTTGAAAATCGTCAACGCCTAAGTTAACCGAGTGAATTATGGGTCGTTTAGGGTTAGAAGTTATTATTCGCGAGCCGTGCTTACAAGTGGGAAGGTCACATACAAAATGGTACAAATGTTTAGGTACTGGAACACTATTTTGAAGTATCAATTGATTATGAAAATCTATTGTTAATCTTAAGAATTGCATAACATGAATAGATAGGATACCATGTTCAAGGGGTGAATTTAAAATATAAAATGTTTCATTAAAATTAAAATTATTAAATTGTATTGGTAAGGTAACTAATCCGATTGGTTTGGCATGACTAGATATAGTACGGATAATAACATCATTGTTAATAGGGGTGGAACAAATGAAACTATTAACATTTTTAATATATTCAAATTGGTTTAAACTAATTATGGAAACATTGGCTCCAGAGTCAATTAGGAATGGCATCTTTAAAGAATGAATGATAGGGGTTAAAATAATTGCACTTACAGGCGTATGCTGGTTTAGGGTGCAGGTAGGTTCATTGAGCTTCGGAGGAGTTCTGCTGCCGAAGTTGGCATTACTTGGTTTCTCCCGAGCTCGTCGTTGCTGCGGTCTCGTAGACACCTGCAGGCCCAGTCGATCTTTGGGGTTGCTCGACGCTGTGGACCGCAGGTGTAAAGGTCCGAAAAGTCCGCTGGTAGGGCCCTCGCTGCTGACACTGTGCGTGCCAGTGTTGTCCGCCACAGTACCGGCAAGGATATGGTGGGGTCTTGTCCACGGTGGTGGAAGGTGTTCTGCTCTGGCGCGGTGATCGTTGTTGGGCAGCTTTAGTGCTGGTGTTATCCCCTTCGTAGGTCAGCTGTTGGGCTAAGCACAACCATTCTTCTGGTCCCGAGGGTTGTGCCATCTTTAAAAGGTTGCCATAGTTACGTGGCACACCGTTGGATAGTGCTTGCACGATGGCACTCTTAGGGAGGTTGATCGCCAATCCTATTTGGACCTTGTTCTTGTAGTAGGTCTCGATCTCGGCCATCGACGTGCATTTAAGTTCATAGAACTCTTGAAGGGTGAAGCTAGGGCGTCGGGGATAGACGGCGCAGAGTGACTCTTTGACCTCTTCATAAGTCTTATTGAGTAGCGCTAAGTCTTGTGCAATTTTGCGAGGTTCGCCTATGAGTGATGATAGAGCCTTTCGAGCTTGGCGTGCTGGCTCTAAGTTGTGGAAGTTCGGCTGAGACTCAAGTTGTGAGAAGAAGTGTGCGGCAGGTTCATCTCCGTCGTAGGTGATTGTTTCTTCAGACTCACGGTTTAAAAGTTGGTCGAGACAGAGGGTGAGAGTTCGAAGGGAAGCGGCTACAGTAGAGTCGGTCGTTGGTTCTTGTGGAACTTGGTTGTGGGTTTGTTCGATCATCGTGGTATTGCTTCTTGTTTTCTTCATACTCTGGTATATGAGGGATTTGTTTCCCGGTCAGGTCTTATCCTGTCGACTTTTCAATGTGACAATATAGTGGTAAATGTGGTGAGGAGAGAAATAATCACACGACGAGTTGTTAGAGCAATAATCCAGGCAGCCAGCCGAGAGAGAGCGAGCGAGACGTTATCAGCTGAACGACTGTTTTTCCTGTGTACACAACCGGGGGGCTAACCAGGATAGTCGCCAGGTGGTGACGGCCCCCCCCCTCAGGAATGTGGTCAAAATGGTCGTGAGTTAGTTGTCTTCTATCGACTACGTCTCTCTCTCTCTCTCTGGTCGACTGCAGATTTACTTTATTATTCCTGTAAGAGCATATATTATGACATATATATATTAAAATATACAAGTATCAGAGTCATCAATCAATTCTTAATTCTGTCACCGTTTTTGCTTTTGTGAATAGAATAAATACCCAAATATGGCCATTTCTTATAAGCATCGGTAGTTCAGTGGTAAAATACTCGCCTGCCACGCGGGCGGCCCGGGTTCGATTCCCGGCCGCGCGATGCATTTTTTTTTTACAATTTGTAAAAATCATTTATATATTATACAAGAATGACATCCACGGCACCAATTTATAATTGTAACGAATAGTATTTGAATAAAAGCATTTAATCGGGTAAAACCCGGGCGTTGCCCGGGCCATTCGGCTATATATATAGATTGAAATTTTGCCCGGAGGCTATTGGTCTATAAAGATAAAGGTCAAAATGATGTCAAAGCTAGACGCCGACTATATAAAGTACACGTGTGTGCATTAGTGTGCATTTGTGTTTATGTATGTGTGCGTTTGTGGTTGTATGTGTTTGTGTAAGAATCTGCCCCTTGTGATGGGCGGGAGCTACTTGCAGGTCATGAAACTTGAAACATGAAACAGGGTATTAGACATTTTACGACAGAGAGAGAGAGAGACAATTGACAATTAACATATTTTATTGACATCTTGTCAATACATGTAAAGTGCACAGTCCGCACTAATTATGAGAAAATGAGAAATTTATAATGAGGATGATGGTTATAATAAAAAAATGATTTTAAAAATGATTAAAAAATACAACTATGTACATGGCGCCTCTGCCACCGCTGCAGAGTTTGAGAGAGAGAGAGGGGGGAAAAGAAAACAGTTTTAAAATAGCAGAATGAGATTTTAATCTTGATGCCAGTCTTCTTACAATGTACCTTCATATAATGCCGATACGCAGGTCATGGAAGGTTATATATCACAGGGGTAAGATAACTTTCCAAGATCTGAGGCTAAAGAGGACTTATAGATCCAAATACTGCTTTGTGGTTAGTTGAGTTGCTGATCAAGGCTATTCTACATTTTAAAAATTCGCATGAGACTCATTATATTTATTTTTCCCTTTTGTGTGTGTGCGTGTGGATAGTTTTGAAAAAAACTTTGCAAATTCAAGTTATCTGAATATGCAAGAAGGCCTAAAATATGGGACAAAATTCGGGGGAATATGTAATTTGCATGTATAGAAAACGAAACTATTCTAAGAGTAAGAAAATTCGAATGTTTCTTAAGGTAGAGTGAGCCTACCTTCGAATATTGGGCAAACAATTGCTATTCGTAAAATTTGTGAATATCCTTCTGAGAGAGAGAGGGATTTCTCTTATTTTGTCGAGTCAGATGTTCTGTTATGGTAGAAGGCGCCTGTCTATCAGAACCTAAGAAATGCAACCAGGAGGGATCGTCAGATATGCTGCCGCTAACGTAGGGGCACCGCTCAGATGTTCAATATGAGAATAAAAAAAGAGAGAGAGAGAAGAATCACTTTTTCAAATTCACTACAGAATTTAACTGAATTTAAAATAGAAAGGACCGTCTAAAGCAGCAACTTCCAATACTATAAATGTATGGCACAGTAAACACAGAGTAAATATATATTACTGCTTCAAACCGCGCAGGGTGTACGGCTAGTGGACTATGAGATGCTGCGAGACGAGGATGGCCAGCGCCTGGTAGCCTTCGGCCGCTGGGCAGGTTACGCCGGCATGGTGGATATCCTACACGGGCTGGGACTGCGGATGCTGAGCTCGGGCTGCAACTCGCCGTTCGTCGCAGTGGGACGCAGCCTATCCTACTGGGAGTTCCCCGCCGCCCTGGCCGCTGTACGCCAGGCTGGCTACGAGATCGCCCGCGGTCACGGACCCCAGACCTTGGGGCCACTTACCTTCGTCTTCACCGGTTCGGGGAACGTCAGCCAGGTCAGCTCTGGTTCGATTACTCTAGAGTTAGAAATTCTAAGTGCGTTTGTTTATTTATTTTTCTTAACAATAAAAAAATAAAAAATAAATAAATAAACGCCTTGAAATTTATTGTTATGAATATTTAAAACAAGCATCCTCTCCCCCCCCCCCTGCGGATATATACGGATATATGCAAAGATAGGATAAAAAGGACTTATAGTCCTCGCGTTCAATTTAAAAAATTTAATTTTCACAAATTCATTAAAGATGGTAAATGTCTTCAGTTCACGTACACGTATGATTAGTTTTTTTTTCCCGAAAGACAAATAAAGACTTAATATTGTAAGCAAACGCTGCGATAGTTTACCTCGACATTTTACTTCCCAGCGGCTATAAATGAGAGTGGAGTAAATTTCACGTTCGAAACAAAGTACGGAAACCTCATATATATAATCCGGCTTTTCAACTACGACAACTGTGGGAGAAAGATATTGACAATAATTTTAATGACATCAGAGTCAATGTTCAAGAGATCAGAAATAAATATGGTAAACATTTCATATATAGAATTAATATTGAATATTAGCAAAGAATAATTTAGAGAAATATTTAAAAAATACATATTTACATAGATCAGTCTTGAAAATAGAGCAATCCATAGATGACTCTTTAATTAAAAAGGCATATATTGGATCAAAATATCATTTATTTTACCAATATTTCAGTTGGCTGAACGCCAACCTTTATCAAGGTGTTATAACATTTTAAAGTTAGTCAACAATTATGTGGCGCTGGTTTGTTGTTGACACACTTTAAAATGTTATAACACCTTGATAAAGGTTGGCGTTCAGCCAACTGAAATATTGGTAAAATAAATGATATTTTGATCCAATATATGCCTTTTTAATTAATAGATCAGTCTAGGAAGCCCGCTCTAAGAGTCTTCCTCTAGGAACTATGCAGATTTTCAAAGATTCTTCTTACTTCTAAGCTTTAAATATATTTGTGGATGTAAGTTCGGGATGTCGATGGCATATTCTAGGCCTCGCCTGCAGGCCCCGTCCTGCAAAGAAAGGAGGCAATTGGATGATGGCCTGGGATGGATGAGTGGCATGAAATAACAGAAAGACCAGTACTTATAGGCCAGCGACAGATCATATACCCCACAGGTTATTCAAGATGGCCGAGTTGAGGCTTGGTGAGCTGGATGAGGCATGTCTGGTAGGACCAGTTTAATTGCATTATTAGTTTTGTTTCCAGAAATGGGGCAGAGCGCCGAAACGAGGGACTGCTAGTGGTAAAGAGAACGTCAACGCACTCCTGCCATTTTCTCAGAAGCTGGGTGATGGGCAAGATAGTCAGGCGTTGGAAATTCAGCCTGCAGCGATTGGTTAGGCGCTTGGTGGGCTAGGTCGCCCCGCGCAGCATACATCCTCACCAATTTTGTCTACCCAGAAGGACTTGTGCATGCTTTCTATTATCAAGCGGAGGCAAAAGTTGACCAAGGCCGCGGCTTTAGCAAGGACACTACGTGTTGAATAAGAGATGAGTAGCACAGGGCCAGTCAAATTCCCAATGCGCGCACCTGTCCACCACTCGGCCGCTAGAATATCAGAAGGCCGAATAAGGTTGCAGATGAACTGAGATGGCTTCAGTATGCGAAGGCTTCAGGGTCTAAGTGGCGGGGTCCCAGCTTTTCTGGATCCAACGATGTCAAAGTGGAAGCCAGATTCCGGATGGAAAGAAATTGATCCACGCCCCACTCACAGGCTTCAAGGCTTACATTCAGCGCAGCTTGTACTTTTTTGTGACATACCAATTTCGGCGGTGTGCCAACATCGAGGATCCTGAAGATGCCCACGGAAGCCAGGCAGTGCGCTGAGAGCGTTGGAGCTTGTAGATGGTGGAGTCAGTGAGAAGGTATTGATTAAACAATTAAAAAGGTTTCCGGAAATAAGTTTCTTTTTCTTTTAAAACCGTCTCAAACATTCGGGAATCTCTGCCCTTCTGCAGGAAAACATATAAAATGAATAAAACGCCACCTGATGCCAAAAAGAAAATCGTTTTATTCATTTTATATATGTTCCCCTGTAGAAGGGCAGAAATACCTGAAAGCTTGAGACGGTTTTTCCGGAAACCTTTTTAATTTTTTAATTAGTGTCCAGGAGATTCAAATCAAATTTCAGTGAGAAAATAGCAAAGAAGTTGGTGAATCACGGGTGAGGACACCAAGGAATTGGTGGCTCTCTTCCACCTGACGAGGGAGAGGCTGCGAAAAGGTAGAATCACATCGCGATTGCCGACTCTAATAGTTCCATTAGGTAGTTATGACTCGATGTTATGTGTGCTGACGTCACGAGAAATTCCAGTACCAGAATATTTCCAACGGAGATAAGGTTTTTACCATACAGCGCACCAGAGGCCAAATTCTTGCTGAAGTTCGCTTGGATTTCCTACGAACGCCGAAATTTATCTAAGACTGCTTTTACGATCTTAAACTGCTCATTATTACTAATGAGCGCTTCAAAGAACCGTAGTAGAGCTCTAACAAATAAACTTTCCAAAGCCATCATTAGTTCGCAGAGATCCTCTCTAGATGCTCTTTTAAACGGCAGGTAGCAAATGGCTGGAGCGATTTATTTTGCGGGGGTCGCTGACTCTCAGGTTGATGAAAGACGATGTTTTGCATAGCAGCCCAGCGGCGGTGTTTGGGTAATAGGACGCGTGAAAGAAAAGGTTCTGGAATATGGAATAGACTCAGCGACGCATCAGATTGCCCCCGACAGCGCTATCATTTATATTCTAGATGTTTGTGATTCCCGAGCTGAGGACGCGAAACGCGCAGCCGAGGTCCGGCAGTGATGGGTAGTTAGTGTCCACTGACGCAGTATTAACCTTCAGGCATCGAAGAGCTCGGGTGACGTAGTCGTAAGAGTAGCAGTTTTGATGTTCGTCCAACCTCTCCAGACTTTTAAGCTGGGCATGTCCCATGTCCGTGACGAACTTGGAGGTGTTGTTAATGAGAGCCCCCCCCCCCCCCCCCCCCCCACTTGCTCAGCGACGAACCTTGAACGGAACAGAAGCAGAATAGAGACACTAAATAAACGAGAAAGAGATGGCTTACCCAATTTAAGAAGAGCAACACGGTCTTTGAGAGCCAGCAGTGGAGGGTCCAGTAGCGAGTGAGGGTCTGGAGCTTGTTCTAGATTACTCGCGTCAGCTCAGATTTAACAATTGGTAACCTTGGTAGGAATGCGCGCTACATCGAAATAGTGGTAGCTTCGACGAGGGCAGCCCTGCCCAGGAGCTTTGTC